GCACATACTAAACAAAATTCATTTTCGATACTAACTATGTTCTTCGAAACTATATTCTTAATAAGAATTTTAATCTTTGTAATATTTTTGTATATATATAATATAATATAATATAATATAATATATATATATATATATGTATTAGATACTCTTGCATGTAGTGTATATTTTAAAAATAATAAACAAAATTATGTGTAAAACAAAAAATTACAAATCTGTCAATAATAACTTTATATTAGTATATCGCAGTATATTCTATAGTAAAATAACTTACATTTAAAATGGTTACGTTTCCCATGACTTTTATGTATGAGGGTACCTAATACATATATGTACATACGTATAATACGAGTATATAACTTATAAGTGTTTATAATCATATTTAGTTTTGTAATCACACCTTAAAGTTCAAATGATCTTTGGTGATATATAAAATACATTTTATTATTTATATAATAATACCAAATGATTTTATCAAGTCAACTTATAATATATTTATTATAATATTACACATTCACATCAATATAAGTATTCATTTTAAATGTATGACACGTGGCTATATATTTTAATAAGCAATTAATTTGTATCGTATGTTTTATAATTTATTGTATCAATATATATAGTATTCATTCATGATAATACCTAGTCGTTTTATGTAAAATCATATGGATTATTATGTATATACGAAAATTCTAAAATGATATTCATGTTTATAAATACTTTAAAGATTATTCTTATATTTTATATTCTAGCATAATAATTTAAGTTTAGAATTTGTTAAAGCGACAGTTAATGTTAATTTTTTTATCGTTTAACTTCTAGCGAGTTATATGCGTATTAGACTTTTATACGTCTACCTAGTCATATTATATTTTAACCAATAAACAAAAATATTTTTAATTTAAAATAAAATCTCCAAATTCGTCTGCAGCGATTTGTCAACGATAATACATAAAAGTCGTATACATATTTACTAAAAGTATCTATAATATATTGTACCTATATATTTATCGTATATAATTTGATTGCATCGTATTCGCCGTTTTTAGCTTGTCCTATTACATTCATGTATTTTTATCGGTAACATCTCAATGGGTATCGGTTCACCGTCTCATTATCAAGATAATATGTTAATTAGATCTCATATGTATATTGAATTTCCCACGTGTCACTTGACTTAACGATCTCTGCTCTATCCAGGATGCCAGATGGACCCTTGTATGGCTCTATACAGGCGACACAAATATACCTAACATAATTATATATAAATAATGTAACTATATATATACATATATTATGAGAATAATATTTAAATTTTAAATATACTACGCTCTCCCTGGCACAAACCGAATACATTTGAAATATACTGTCATAAACCCGGCGGATTGTCGTCGCCCGTATGGACGTTTATTATATGGAAGTTTTTTTTTACATGAATATATAGATATAATTAATGTTATGTTTTTTTTCGACACTGTGTTGAAATTAAATGACTTATATTTGTAAGAAGAAAAAAACAAATTAAACGAAACGACTTTTAACGGTTAACACGCGTAGTACGTATACTACACACATACACATACGCGCATAAATATATGTATTTATACGATTTCGTATAAATATATTAGTATAGATATAGGTACGGTTAAGCATCCATATACACGATATGAGTGTATTCGAAAGATGTGTCCGAGCGGCTTGTGAGTAGGTTACACATTTAAATATGTATATAAATTAAGCCTATTCTATACATGTATATTTGGAAAGAAAAACGAAGGAAGCGGGTTTATGGTAAGAGGAGAGGCAAGGATTCCAACGAATAAAATCGTACGATTTACATCAGACAAGTTTTACAATTTTTTTTTTTTTTTTTATACGTCCGGATGACTAGCTCACGTCAAAAGTGCCAGATAAAATTTGTTTTTTATTCGTAGCTGGTTGTTCTTTCACATTATAATAGCATGTACCTATATATGTGTATTATTATATATAAGGTGGAGCACGTTTATATCAAGTGATTTTCTACGTGTTTATATCATTTTATTTATTTTATGTAAGAGTTATATTTTATAAGTCATAAATATAAATGATAAATTAAGATTTTCTATTTTTTTTCCTTTTTTTTTTAATATTCTCCAAAAGTATATTGAGTACCACTTTGTACAGTATTAATCTGATTTCAAATTACTTTTAGCTATTTTTACATACTATTTGATATTTGTAATATTATTATACAAAAGTATCAAAAAAACAATGTCGAAAAAACAAATCGTTTTTGGGTGTTATTATTTTGCTATGTAAAAACTACTTTAATTTTACTCTGTTTTTAATACTAGCGTTTATTGTTTTATTGTATTACGAGTATTGTTTCAACAAATGCAAAACGATCTGATTTTTTTGTGTTTTAAATCGCAATATATATTATAGTCGTTGATAAAAGAGACTCCGAAATGAGTTATTTAAAAAATCTGTGCCGACAATATTTAAGAACTACAAAGGCGTAAAAATTGTGAGTTTGATTCGAGACTCAAGTCACGTAGTCTTTTCGAGAAAAAGTGCAGACGGTCTCCAACTATTTTATAGCCAAAAACTCGTCACGAGGTAGGAATACCGTTATATGTAATACATATATATTCTACGACAGGCTTCTTATTCTACACCTTTGAAAGCTTTTCGTTGTACATATAGTAATAGTTTGGATGTTTCAATATATGAGTGTGTGTAATGTACCGATGTGTACTGTTTTTCTACAACACTACAAACGAATCAACTTTTCTGTATATATCTTCTTTACCACGAACGTGCTATGATTGTAGAGACATTTTTTACAAGTAAAAATAAAATAAAAAACAAGGTTAAGATTTTTTAGCCCTTCTATATTTTTAGTCAGTCATTATATATATTGTATACAATAATAAATACTGTGCATATATTTCGTAACTTGCACGCCCGCAAGGGAAAAATGCAAGTAGAGAATAGGTAAGACAAACTTACCCTCATCAATATCATCCCCTCCCACGTATGGTCGAGAACAAGAGGCCTGTAATCAAGGTTTATGCATAATTTTTTAGAATACCCACTCCAACAAATAAAAATAACCTATACATATACAATATGCATATTTATCCGTAGATTTGTGATATACATTATAAAATCAAATTTCTTTAAATATTCATAATATAATTTAAACAGTCGTAAATAAATATTTTTATATATTTATATATTATTATATATTTGATTTAATGAATATACTATAGAATATAATAATGTAATATATACGTTTATAAATATAATTCTATATTGGTGCACGCATGAATGTGTGTATGAACTATAAATTGTACATGTGTAATGCAGCGTCATACCTAAGTGGTTTATTTTTATAAAGTATTACATACTATAAATCTCATAGCGTTTATATATCCATAATATCATTTAAAGCATTTATACAAATTATAGAATAAAATTTTTTTTTTTAAATGTATTATACATAACCTAACCTTATAGATATGATAATAATTAATCCATGGTTAATGAAAACAATTATAATTTGGAACTAGAATATTTGTAGTAGGTATAATGATAAGAATAGTAATAATAAAAAAGTATTAAAAACCATTTATTAGCAGAATATTACAGTACGCCCATTATTTTTAGATATAATATCTATAAGATTTTAAAAGGCAAAATAGTTTTTACTATTAAATTGCTAATAAGTTAAAATCGAGATATTATTTTACCTAATGATACCTACACATAATTCTATTTATAAAGTTGAACATTAAACAGTACATGTTATAATGCTCTGGAATGTTTAAATTGTTATATCTAACTTACTAAACCAAAAACAATAATGTATATTGCTGAAGAGTTTTTTGTTATAGAAAAAGTCATACAAAACAATATATAATATTCAAATAATCGAAGCGTCAAATAATCGAACACCACAATTTTGTTGTAAAAGTAAGCGGGTTGTAAGTAATTGTTAAATATAATGAAGAAATTTAGATTAGAATAGAACAGAACATTAAACATATATTAAATGAAAAATAAATAATAAATTATTCCTCAAGAATTAAAAATTAAATAATCACACCTTTCCAAGATTCACTTTAATGTTATTGGCTTTATATGTGTACTATAAAATAGTAGTTACAATTACACTCGTTATAAATACTTTATAATTGATTTATTTTTTTAAGGATTCATACGCTGATTTATTTTGATTTTTAAAGTAAAAGGTAAAGTCCGATTGTTAAATTTAATTTTATAACTTAGAGAGAATGGAGTTTTTTTTTTATCCATAAGAGATATTATCGAAGCATGTTATAACTATTTTATCGATAATAAATTATGACACGATACAAGTTACTACGTATAACTTGAAATGGTGTACTGTATGGTTATAGTAAAGTATATTATAATGTGTATGTGTATTACACATACTTTTTCCTTTCATCGTAAAACAAAATTATATCTTTTATAATTTAATTATTTAAAAACTGTATTACTTGGTGTTTAGTTTAATGTGTCATGTTAAATCACTAAATCATTAAACTAAACTAAAACTTTTTAAAGTCAGATATATTCTCTAAGTAATTTCTTTATACTTTTAATGTTAAAGAACTATTATTTTCATAAACAATCTTACTTCGTGTTTTCGTTGTTCAGATATTATTCTTTGACAGATAGATAATCTTATATGTACAAAATATAAAAATAACGTTTTTTGATCAAGCGACAATATAAGGTATATTAAGTATTGAGGCACCGTAAAATGTAATTAAATTTGAACATTATTACTTATTTGTACGCTTTTTGATCAGTGCATCTCTAATACAAACGAATACAAGCGAACGCTAATTCGCTGTATGTATATTCGCATAGTCATAATCACTAAATTTTCTCGTGTAACGTAATGTCGTTTGAAATATTTTCAGAAATTATACCTTATGTATTAGTATTTTTTACAAATTATTAATTGTTACAATTGTGTGACTTACCAAAATACGAAGGACATATTTTTCAATTGACCCAACTCGTCCCTTGTGCTGCTCTCTATGTTTTGCGAATGACGTGAATAAACGAAAATCACCTTCGTCGTTTGACCTCTAGAGGACGATCGACATAAGTGTCCAGATTGTATCTGCAAAATGTACGCTTTAATTAATGTTATTCATTTTATCACACATAACGTAATTAGGCAAGTCAATATTTGCTAGTACTAATGATGTTGTGGTATAAATATCGTTTTGAACAAATAGAAAAAGCATTAGTTTTTTGTATTAGTCCAAATTTTACCATAATCATATGTATTTTCAAATTGTTGAGTATGAATCAGATAATGTGAGTGAGGATAAAAGGGAAATAAAAGAATTTTGGTGTTGCTGTAATTTTTTTGCGGAATTGACTTATGCATTAAACTTGTTTTGTACTCATAATATGTACCTGCATACCGTACTACCGAGTATACATACAGTGCCATCTGTTGATGGAAATGTTGAAAATGTTTATATTTTCGCTCTAAGTGTCCAACCGTTCAAATTCGAAATATTGGGGAAATATAAAAATATCACGTTTTATTTTGATTATTCCAAAATTATTATCTGTACTAAAGAAACCGTCATAATCCAGTAAATATACATTTTCAAAAATTATCAATTATCTGTATTTCCTATATATTATCACTATTCAGACGAAATTGTGTTGTGGTGAATAGTACCCTAATGATTTGTAGTTTAAAATTTAAAAGTGATAATTTTTTAATAAAATTACTTTGGGCACACCGTATTAAAATCAAAAAAAAAAAAAAATAATAAGTTTTTAACTATCTCAAATGTAATAAATATTTTATACTATCGTATATTTAAAAAAAACTTATGATCGATTCTAATCAAAGCAAGTATTGTTGATACAATGAGGAATTTCTAATTTTATATCGATGTATTATGATTTTTCAAATTATTTCTTTATTTTTTTTTAGATATTTATTAGTTCATGTAATACTTTAACCTCCTAGAGGTCACGTCTATGAGAATCTCGTTGGCAATCGCGCCGCGGAATTAACACCGCTATTTTATTTATTTATTTTTAGTGTTGATTTTTAGAACTGTTATCTTATATTTTACATAATACACGTAAGGAATAATTTACAATGACATTTACAAACAATTAAATTTATCAAATAACTTTATTTTAACATAATATTGTGCATATTAAAATTTTTTTATCGATTATCCATGAAAAACAATTTTAGTCGCGCTGCGGTGTTTACGCCGCATTGACAAACAATAACGTTCACTAACACTTTGTGACTACTTACTGGTGACTTTACGTGTAAAGACAAAATGCATGACTATTGCATTATGTTTATAAATACAAGGTGTAGGAATAGTAGGGGGTCATACTAATCTTATCGATAAGTATAATTAAATAAAACGGTTTTTCCCAATGATGCGGTGTAAACACCGCTAGCGCGACCGCTAGGAGGTTAAGGGCTATGAAAGTTTAACGTTAAACACAATATATACTAAACATTAATTAGAATATACAACTTAAATTTATTTAAAAATATTTTCTTCGATATTTTTACATTTTCAAGAGCCATTAATGATAAAATACTTTTAAAGTTCGCTACTAAATCACATGTCTTACATAATTTTCTAATTTATTATATCGAAACTATACGAGTATATAATCAAAACATAATTATAACTAAGTATTTTTTTTATCTTTAGATAACAATTATAGCGGAAAATATGTTATTTTTAATCAAATGCAGTTAATTAAAGATATAATATAATTGGATGTATGTAGACTAACTTGTTTTTTTATTTTTTTTTATATGGAAATTATAATTATGGCATCTAAAATTAAAGAATTACTTATATTTTGTACTGTTTTATTCATTATTTATTTATTTAAAGTTTTAATTATAATATAAGAAATTCTTATTTACTTTTTTTATATTTTAATTTATTATTGCAAGTAATTTATATATATATATTTTGTAATTTGTAATTACAATTTTTATCACAATGTTATTTATAATTTATAATTAATTACGGTGATTTTCTGTAATTTGTAATTTTTAACTAGTGACATTTTTCGACTAATTTGCCCTTGTGTGTAGTTATAGTTATAGTTATAGTTGTGTGTATGTCAAAAATCTACATAGTTATTCAATGAATGCGATTAACACTTTAATTGACAGTAACTAAAATATAATCGTTTAAAAATGCATAACAATATACATCCTAAAAATAAAAGCTTTGAATATGTAATTATATTGCCTATATAAAACCCCGTATAATCTTTATTGTGGACATTATTATTGTTATTGTTATACTTTTAAAATTCTTTTTGAGTCATTTTTGATAATTTACCACTACAATTATTTTATATCATTTAAACATTTATACAATTTAAAAGTTCAAAATGTACTGTGATACAATAAAAACTATATTGGACATTTTAGTAATCAGTTAATTCGAAAACAAACAGAAAACTTTAAGAGTAAGTGTAGATTAGAATTTATTATTTATCTTATGCAAACGCCACAGAACATGTGTTCATGTATAATCTTATATAATATAAGTAATAAAATAAAAACGAAGAAAACTGAAAGCATTGTAAAACGCGTAGACCGACTTCTAACGGTAACCGGTTGTCGCTAGGGCATGTGCGTACAATGTAAAGGCGTGGTCACAGCCACAACGACTGTATAGTATATTTTGTATTCGATTTGTGTACGATACATCCATTATGATCGATAATAATCGATTCGTCCCACGCGACCTAAAAAATGTTTTCAACTCTTTTTCCACCATGGTTGGATGGTTTATAGTTTATATTTACCATGTATATTTGCTCGCAACATTCATGTGTGGTTACCACGTCGGGTAACCACGCGAATAAATTATCGAAAGCTGAAGGTTCAATATACTAAGATACATTTATGTAAATCTATAATATACATTTTAGTACATTGAATACAAATGCGACGTGCACAATACAGTAAACCTTTATAGTATTTGTGAAAAATTAAAATTTATGACTTAACGCCTTTTAATCTCACACTAAAGAGTGCCGAAGTCTTCAAAACTGAAAATCATAAGTCAATTAATTTTAAACAAGCCGAACTGATTAGATTATATTTTAGAAACCAGACCGAACTGAAATAAAAATAGTTGAAACCAGGAGCGGGCCTCAATGTTTCAAAAAAACATGGAGTCAAATCGAACCAATTCTTCAGTAATTTTTATGTGTTAAAAACGAACTGATATAAACCAGACTATTCAGAGCACTATCAGATATAAATCGAATAATTTACCTATGTGTATCAGAAAAGTAACTGTTTTATTATAAGATGTATTTTAAATAAGATATATATTTGTATTATTTCCCAAATACATCGCTGTAAAACAACAATTTTAAATATTGTGTAATCATAATAATAATAAATAATTATAATATGAAACACTATTTTTATAAACAATATAGTGGCAGTTAAATTAAATACATAAAATATGGGATTTCCAAATCCTTGGAAGATTGCATTAATTTTTAGAAACATGAAATCATTATATATATACATAGTATCTATTCAAAAAGCTACAAATAAATACTAAATAACAGCTCTTATAGCAAGTGATGTAGTAGTATGTAAAATACAATTTCACAAGTCTATATGACTACACTGATCATCCTTAGAATTTTCAAATGTATACATGATTATGTCATCGAAGAGTAAAATAATATATATTTATTGTACTGATTATTATTACGGATATTCCACTTAAAATTCGACTGAAGAATAAAAAAAGTAAGGGTAAAGAATTAGATATTTTAACCATGTTGGTAAGTTAATACCGTTTGTGCATAATATTTTTAAAACTTATAATAGTAGATTATACGTTGTTGATAAATACATGTGTATTGTTAAATATTACGTAACTCGCAATGGAACTTTATACGATGGTGTTAAACTCTATGGGAACTATCTGTCTTGTTTATTTGTACAATATTTAGATGCTTACGTGAAATATACACACACATATGCATTATAGTATTAAACGTAAATACGCGTCTAGGTCACAACCTCATATTTTCTTTGAAGTACACCGAGAGCGGGTTTTATTCAACATTTTATTGAACCCGGCAGCATAAACACAAGCATACAATAATATACCATGTAAAGATATTTTTTTTCCATTTTTTTTTTTTTTTTGCTCCATTTACCAAGGTCACGCCCTGACGGGGCAATACGAATCAGAAATACTTACACATGTATATATACTCGTAATAATGTATTGTACGTATGTCGATCACGAAATTTCGAAAACACAATAAGAAACGTTTATCCTTTCGGTTTTACGACTATACGCGTTTTCAAGGTCGAACGGATGGCAGTCTTCCTATTATTCAACAATTCTTAAATATCACGATAACTGTACGAATAATATTATTACACTTAAATAATTGAATAATATTACCACCAGTGTTTCGGTCTCGATTAGAATATTAAATATTTGTATCTGTTATTCAGCACAAACAACAACTATTTGTAGCGATAAAAATTAATAAGTTATTTACATTAATAAAATAATGAAATATTTAAAGTGTTTAAAACTATGGATACCTAAGTATATCTATACGAGTACGGAGATTTTGAGGGCTCATATGAACCAGTACAAATACAATGAGTGGCATTTGTATCTATATATAGTCGCAATAAATTAGAGGATTAAGTTGAATATTAAGAGAACAATAAGATGCAAGTTTCTATTATTTCATCGTGCCTTTTTATTAGTTTTATACAAATCATCAGTTATACTTAGATGATATTTTTTTATTAATTTAACAGTCGAAAATCGTGTCAAATGATAAATATTGAAAATTAAATTGAAATATAACTATTTTAATGTATCTATACTACTTAGCTAAACGTTACTATACGTGTATAATTTAATTTAAATTATATATTCATTGAAGAACTTATCCGTATAGTAATGTATCTATCTATACTGCTATGTATACAATCTAAAAAATAACCGTTTTCTATCGATTTTACGTATATTTTCATAAACAGAAGTTAAATATAATTACTTTTGAGCTGTTATCTAAAAAAAAAGTAAATTAAAACCA